AAAAAAAAAGAAAACAAAACAAAACAAAAAAGAATACATGGAAGCACCATCAGACCAACTGGTGTGGGAAACTGCTATTCTCTTACAATGCTGGTGACAGTACAGAAGAGTAAACTTCTTACAGAAATTAACTTGGCAATTTATACACTAAGGCTACCAGAGTAAGTAAAAAAGTACTATTATTATGGCTCCAGTTTACACATGCACAGGTTGATTCCAAACAAGCATTTTAAACATGTCTCTGTAATCAGTGGATGACTGCAGGCAAGTTCTCTCAGTAATACACTTGTCTTAGACTCACTGGAGCCCTGGTGGTATAGCAGATAAACATTGGGCTGTGATCTGAATGGTCAGCAGTTTGAAACCACAGTAGCTCCGAGGGAGAAAGACTGGGCTTACTTAGTCCTGTGAACAGTTACAATCTCAGAAATCCACAGGTGGTTGCTATGAATCAGTTTTGGCTCGATTGCAGTGAATGTTTTGAGTTAATTAGATTATTTGTAGTTTAAACCCACTTTTTAAAAAGTAAATTGTTCTATTTTGATTCTGAAAACACTTGGTTCTAACCAAAGGGGAAGAAAATTAGAAAGATACCTGACACACCTCAGAAAACAAAACGCCACAGTGCCAACACCCAGTGATGGATGGTCTTGAAGCTTTGCCAATGTGCCTTCTACAGGTGTGATTGCAGTCACGTCAGAGTCCCCTTTAGGAACACATCTTTAAAGATTCCAGATTGCCGAGGTAACCAGAACACCTGCTCTTTACATAGGCTTGTCACCACAGTGATAGTTTGGCTAAGTCACTTCCTATTAAGGATAACAGCCACGCACATGTGCATGTTGTGTGTATAAACACACACCTTTATTTATTTTGTTTGTATTATGAGCCCACTGGCTAACACTTTTCCATGACTTCATGGAGCACTGTTGACACAAAATAAAACCCACTGTTCCTAAGGGCTATACACCCTAGAAGAGGGTGTACCTTCCTTCCAGGGCTCTGTTTGCCCCCAGACTGGCTCATGCTCTATAACCAGAAGAGTGGGTGAGCCTCACACCGGTCTCTGCCCAGAGCCCTCAGCTTAAAACCTGCTGGCTTCCATGGGCCTCACACTTACAGGTCATAGGAGAACTTCCTCTCCAGGTTGGTCTGGTTCTTCTGAAACTGGAGAACATCCTGCTGCAGCTTGCCATAATTCCTTTGCAGGGCCTTCAGCTGGTCTGAGGAGGAGGACAAGAAATTACACAGGTCACTGACACAGCTTTTGTGCTATTCACCATAACAGGACAATAGCAAACCAAAAACAAAACTAGATACAAACGCCTGAAGCAGAATGCACTGGGAAGTGGATTGTTGCAGTTGCAGTTAGGTTAAAATTTGGCACCCTATCATTTGATCTCCCTTATGATCCATTTAAATGTGTTCTAGTTTTTTAATATTTTCTGCTTTCTTTTCAATTGAGGTTTTAATTTGTTATTCCTGTTGGTTTTCGGGGGTGAGGGGTGGGGTTGGTGTTTTAATGGTTCCTTGAGGTATGACAGGGAAGTGGGGGATAATTATGATGAGCACAAGAATGAAGAAAATGTTCTAAAGCCGATTGTGGTGATGATTGTACAACTCTCCTTGATGTGACTGAACCACCAAAGTGTATGATATGTGAATGATTTGCCAATAAATATGCTGGGGGTGGGGGTGGGGAAGGGAAAGAAACCCTCTACCATCAAGTGGATTCCAACTCATTTGCTCCATGGGGCTTTAGGGAATCTTTAAGGAAGCAGATCTCCAGGCCTTTATTTCATTGTTTTACTGGATGATTTCCAAGTGTCCTTCTGTAGGCTAGTGGTTGGGTGCAGAACACACATCACACCCAAGCACAGAGGACAGAAGCACAGCCTTTGCCCAGGATTCGCCACACTCCAGCCACAGTGCTACTCTTACAGGAACCTGCATCTTGATTCTTTGTCAAATGCCCTTACATGAACGAGGAAGTTCGATTTGCCTGTTTCTTAAATAAACAAGCCCAAGCTGGCCCACCAGGCCATACACTTGAGCTATACATTGTATCAGATAAGCAGCCAGCATTGCCCAACATACTGCCCAGGCCACACACCACCATTATTCCCTTGTTGCTTGTTTACAGTCCAGCTGTCCTCTGAGGCCCTGTAGTCATTCAACCAGCAGTTCTGTTATCTAGGCAGCATGTTCTCTTTGTGAGAAGTCACCTGCCCCATCCACACTGCCCTAAGGACTTGGATCCCAAGAGATCAGTCTGGAAGAGCAGCCACTGAACAAAGGGCCACACCAGGGGCAGCCGGGTGATATGTAGGTCTAGCACCAAGACCTCACACCCAGTCCTGCATGGACACCACTGCCCCAAGGTTTGCTCTCAGAACACTGGACCTATCAGGCTCTTAGGGAGAAAGAAAGTAAAATAAAATGAAAGGTTGCAAGAACTGCTGATAGATGCAACAGCATGGATCCACCTCAAACACATTTTGCTCAATAGCCAAAAGATGAGAATAACCCATGGGATGAAAACTTTTTTAAAATGTGGTATACACATAAAAGGTAGTATTACTCAGCCATAAAAAGAAATTATGTTTTGATACATGATACAATATGGATGAACCTGAAAAAAGATCATGCTGAGTTAAAGAAGGCAGACACAAGAAGACAAATACTGTATGATCTCATTCTTGTGGAGTGCCGGATGCAACATTCTTTTTCATATAAGCCAGGCTTCTCTGTATGGAGACTGAATAAGTAGGCTACAACCCAAGTGCACCTTTTGGGATTGTAAACCATGCAGTATTCCCCTATTTTGTTTACACAACTGCCCCTTGATCCATGCACAAGTTTCACATGAGCACAGTGAAGTGTTGGAATTCCCTTTATTCTCAAGGCTATCCATAGTTTGTTGTGGCCCACACAGTTGAATACCTTGGCATAATAAATAAAACACAAGTAAACATATCTCTAGTATTTTCGGCTTTCAGCCAAGATCCATCTGACATCAGTAATGATATCTCTTATACCATTGCTGCTTTTGCTGAATCTGGTCTGAACTTCGGGCAGTTTCTTGTCAATGTACTGCTATAATTATTGCTGGATGATCTTCAGCAAACGTTTACTTGCACGTGATATTAATGATATTGTTCTATAATTTGAGATTCTGTTGTGTCACCCTTCTTGGGAATGGGAACAAATATGGAACTCTTCCAGTTGACTAAGTAGCTGCCTTCCAAATAACCTGGCATAGATGAGTGAGTGCTTCCAGTGCTTCATCAGCCTGTTGAAACATTTCAATTGGTAATCCATCAATTCCTGGGGCTTTGTTTTTGGCTAATGCTTTCAGTAGCGCAGCTTGAATTTCTTCCTTCAGCATCATTGGTTCTTGGTCATATGCTACCTCTTGAAATGGTTGAATGCCAACTAGTTCTTTTTGGTATAGTGACTGTGGATTGTTTCCATCTTTTCTTGACAGTTCATACATTATTCAGTATTTTACTCATGGAATCTTTCTATATTGCAACTTGAGGCTTGAATTTTTCCTTAATTCTCTAAGTTTCAGATATGCTGAGTGTGTTCCTCCCTTTTGGTTTTCTAACTCTAGGTCTTTGCACATTTCCATTATAATATTTGATTTTGACTTCTCGAGCTGCCCTTTGAAAATTTCTGTTCAGCTCTTTCACTTCATCATATCTGCCATTTGCCTTAGCTACTCTATAATTAAAAGCAAATTTCAGAGTCTCTTTTGACATCCACTTTGGTCTTCTCTTTCTTACCTTTTTTTTCCTTTCAATCATTTTACTGGGGACTCTTACAACTCTTATCACAGTCTTATTACACTCTTATTATCACACTCTATTACATCCATCCATCCATTGTGTCAAGCACATTTGAACATATGTTGCCATTATCATTTTCAAAACATTTTCTTTCTACTTGAGTCCTTGATATCAGCTATTTTTTCCTTCCTTCCTCCATACTCCCTCCCTCATGAACCACTGATAATTTATAAATTATTATTTTTTTCATGTCTTATACCGACTGCTGTCTCCCTTCACCCACTTTTCTGTTGTTCGTCCCCCTGCGGTGGGAGGGTGGGGGGGGGGGGGGGGGGGTGTTATATGTCGATCACTGTGATTGGTTCCCCCTTTCTACTCCCTCCTTCCTCCTACCCTCCTGGTATTACTACTCTCATTATTGGGGTTTATCCCTGAGGGGTTATCTGTGCTGGATTTCCTGCATTGTGAGCTCTTAGCTGTCCCAGTGTTCATGCTCTGGTCTAGCCGGATTTGAAAGGTAGAATTAGAGGAAAGTTGTATGTTTCATCAGTGACTGGCACCCTGACTGGCTCGTCTCTTCCTTGTGACCCTTCTGTGAGGGGATGTCCAATTGTCTACAGATGGCCTTTTGGTCTCCACTTTACCCTCCCCTCACTCACATTGCTATGGTTTCTTGTTCTGGGTCTTTGATGCCTGACACCTGATCCCACCTGATCCCATCGACACCTCATGATCACACAGGCTGGCGTGCTTCTTCGATATGGGGTTTGTTGCTTCTCAGCTAGATGACCATTTGTTTATCTTAAAGCCTTTAAGACCCCAGATGCTATATCTTTTGATAGCCGGGCACCATCAGCTTTCTTCACCACATTTGCTTATGCACCCATTTTGTCTTTAACGATTGAGTTGGGAAGGTGAGCATCACAGAATGCTGAGTTATTAGAACAAAGTGTTCTTGCATTGAGGGAGTACTTGAGCAGAGGCCCAATGTCTGTCTGCTACCTTAATTCTTAACATATAAATATATGTACATGGATCTATTTCCATGTCCTTATATATAAATGTAGTTACATATGCACATGACTCTATATATGTTCTTTGCCTCCTAGTTCTTTCCTCTATTTCCTTTTACTTTCTTCTTGTCCCACTATTATGTTTGACTTTCATTTGGCTTTCATTAATTCCCCTTGACTACACTGCATTTGATCAAGTCCTACCAGGCATCGTATGCTCTCCTCGCCATCAATTTTAGATAATTTGTTCTTCTTCATGTATGACAGTCCTGATGTCATTCCACAGCTTACCAGGTCTTCTACCACTAGTGTTGACTGACTCAAATCTTAGTCTTGAACTGTTCTAAAAATTCAGGTGGGCATTAGTGTCATTCGCCACATTGACATGAAAAACTATGATAATATGGATAGATGCAGGAAAAGCATTCGACAACATCCAACACCCAATTCCTGTTTAAGACACTTGAGAAGATAGGTAGGAATGGAAGGAAAATTCCTCAAGACAATACAAGCTATATATGAAAAACCAACAGCCAACATGGTAGTCAATGGAGAAAAGACTGAAAAGGGGGTCCAGACAAGGAGGCCCCTTGTCCCCACTCTTATTTAACATCGTACTGGAGGTTTTAGCTAACAGTATAAGGCAAAGAATGGACATCAAAGACATTCATCTGGGGAAGGAAGACATGAAACTATCATTATTTGCAGATAATATGATTTTATATATGGAAAATCCCAAAAGCTCCACAGGGGGAGTACTGGAAGCAATAGAGGAGTTTGGCGGAGTGGAAGGATACAAGATCAACAAACAGAAGTCCATCGGACTGCTATACACATTGGATAAGACCACAGAAGAGATAAAAAAGGTGGTACCCTTCACAATAGCCAAGCACAAACTGAAATATCTAGGGATATACCTGACTAAAAGAACAAAAGAACTATATGAGGATAACTACAGAATACTATTACAAGAAACCAAGAGTGACCTCAACAAATGGAAGAATATACCATGTTCGTGGATTGGAAGAAAATATAGTGAAGATGTCACTTCTGCCTAAGGGACTATATAAGTTTAATGCAATCCTGATACAATTATCCTCTACTTTCTTCAAAGAAATGGAAAAACTGATTACCAACTTCATAGAGAGAGGGAAGAAGCCCAGAATTAGCAGAGAACTCCTCAAGAAGAAGGACACAGTGGGAGGGCTTGTTCTACCTGAATTAGTACATATTATACAGCGACAGTTGTCAAAACTGCATTGTATTGGTATGACAGACACAAAGACCAATGGAAAAGAACTGAAAACCCAGAATTAAAATCATCAGCATACAGACAACTGATCTTGGATAAGGGCCCAAAAAATATCCAATGGGAAGCAAATGCCCTCTTCAACGAGTGGTGCTGGAAAAAATGGATATCTACCTGCAGAAAAATGAAGCAAGACCCTTATCTCACTCCATGCACAAGAATAAACTCAAGGTGGATCATAGACCTTGAATTTAAATGCCAAACTATTAGGGCCATCAATGAGGGAATTGGGACCAACTTGAGAACTTTGGCACATAGGCTATCGGAAATAG